CGTCATTGAGGAAGAGTGTCTGACCATCAAGAGTGGGAATATGTAGTTTGCCAACTTGATTTGAGGTAATTGTACAACCTGCGTTGGCTAGTTGAAATATTCTAGGCCTTGAAAGAGTAATCAGGTTGGTCAGAAGACGTGGATTTGAAACAATATGGTTAGTAGCACCAGTGTCAAGAAGAAAGGTAAGTGGCTTTGATGCCATGAGTGGAGACAAGAGGTATTTGGCAGAGAGGGCAGAGACAGAACCAAAGATCTCCGGATGGGAGGCTGTTGCTATATTATTCCTTGTCCCTTTTTGTCCCTTTTCTTTTGACTTCTTTGCCGCCTCCAAAAATTGAGCCTTCAGAGGCTCTCCCCTTTCTTTGCCATTGCAGTCCTTCTCCTCATGTTCCCTATACCCGCACTATCTCCTTTTAGTTTCCCCTTTCCCGTATTACCTTTCCCTTTTCCTTTCCCACCATTTCCGTTTGGGGGTTTGATGGCGTCCTTGTTGGCAACAACACAATTGACGGATCTGACAGCATTGACAGAAGCTTGGAGTTGTTGATAAAGATGGCGGGAGTCCACAATGGAACAATAGGTGTTGAGGAGATGTTCCCAATTAGGTTGTTTGTTCCGGGCTTTTGAAGATCCCATTGCATACAGAATGGTTGAAGATTGTTGCCAAAAGTAAAAAGGAAACGCTTGGTACAATCATTTTACAAAAGTATTGAACCTGCTCCAATACCATCAGCAATAAGTCCGGTGTAAGTTTCAAGATGTTGGACCATCTGTTTGTGAGGAGCATTTTTTTGGGGGGAGCTTGAGCAAAGCAATGCGTTAATTGAGGTCATTACAACAAGAAGTGGTCTGGACTTGTGGGTGGATGTTGCGACCGGTCCTCGTGAGACCTGGAACAAAGACCGAGTAGAAGATAGAAGTTTAGATTGGCTTGGACCAAGATGAATGAAGATGGTCCGTGGTACTGTGAAGTGATCAGATGATAGTGAAGAGTCAAGAAAGTATAAGTCAAGAGGGATGGGATAGCTTGGAAGGATCGAGTGGTCCAGCTAGAATGTATCAAACAAGGATGACACTTCTGTAAGAAGTGCTCCTGAAGAGGTCTGATAAATATTAAATGCAAAAGATATTTTGATCCTTGGAAAAGAAGGATCCATGGGGCCAACAGGAGGGGTTTGTATATCCTGCAGAGCGGGATTATTGTTGAAGAGATTCTTGTTAGGAATCTCACCTAAGTCTTCACCAGAACTTCAGTTATGTCATACTGTGAATCAAAATGTGGTATCTTGAATAAAAGTGAGGCATAAACCTCTATTCTCTTCTAAGATGAAATAGTATATTCATCTTGTTCATACATAGCTTTACAAGATAAGTCTGAGAGCCGCAACTCGACTTCTAATTTACATTTACCTTTAGAAGATGGACATACGAATGACAACTCGTCACGAGACAAGTTCAAGTGTGGCAACTCGCCAGAGGAAGGGTTCATGTCAAGACCAGACCGAAGGTCGAAGGATCTGCGTCGATGGAGATAGAGCTACTTGTAGGGACTTGAAATAGTTGTGAGAGGATGTGAAGATCGAAGCAAGTGGTTCGATGAATGAATACTAGGTTTGGCAAATGTATATGAGAACTTGTATGTTGAGACAGACAAGATACATTCGTCGAAGTTGCTCTAAGCTATGCACTACCTTATGTACATGGAATGAGAGTGGAATGTAGATAAGGGTGGCTGGTAGTGTTTATCGGTGGCGGGTAATGGGGATATTACCCGAACTAGCAACTTCGACACGCGTGGTCATTACAGTTCAATGGCAATTCGCCAGAGATCAAGTTCAAGTATGGCAACTCGCCAGAGAACGGGTTCAAGTCTAAGACCTTGCATGACGAGTTGAGACATGTCAACGTCTTACCTCTGCGCGTAAAGCCAAAAAGGAAGATGGATGAAGAAGAGCATGTCTCAATGGTGAGTTATCTTTTTTAATCCTGACCCGTCAACCATGAACACTTCCATATCCATATCCATGACCATGTTCATATCCACTGACACCTCGCTTCCTCTCTTCCTCACTTCTCCTTGACCATCATAAACCCTTCCTGTGGTCTTGGAGAAACAAAACCTCGTAAGCTTCCTAAGCATCATAAACCCATCTTGTCGTATTTCACAAAAGGAATAACTCGTATCGGGAAAAAGACAACAATCAAAACTTCAAGTTGTGCTACTGTGATGACAGAAAAAGAATAGTTCAAGATTAGACGCTGATATATAAAAAACATCTTGTCGCTCTATACCTTCTATCATTCCTTCATCTACCGAAGCATCTCATATGCATGATGATACCAACAAGTCATATCTTTCTTTGTTTTCCAACGGCAACGGCAATGGCAACGTCAATGTCAGCGTCAACTTCAACGACAATGTCAGCGTCTACGTCAACAACAATGTCAGCGTCTACGTCAACGACAATATCAGCGTCTACGTCAACGACAATATCAGCGTCAACGCAAACGTCAACGGTCAAAGGCGGGCCAGATTCTTTTGGATGGGGGAGTTATGATGAGTAGGGTCATGACAGTAGATGAGAGGGTTATGTCATATGGATTTTGTGCTCTTTTCATATGAATTCGGGTGAACTCATGTGAATCCATGCGAAACCATATGAAATCGTATGAAATCGTATGAATTTGTATGAAATCGTATGAAGTTGTATGAACTCGTATGAAATCATACAAAATCGTATGAAATTGTGTCAAAGTCCCCGAATTATAGGTCACGGCTTTACCGAGTCGTGACAGAGAGCGGGGGATATTCAGTTGGAAATACATTCATACAAGTTAAGCAGAGAGCCGATATCTTTTACCAAACCTCTCTCAGTAAACACTCATCACAGCCAGACAGTCCAACCCCTCTTTGACTTGGACGTACCAAACTTGTTCAAATAGTGAAGAAGACATAGAAGATAGTGAGGAAAGGGGTTCTGATGGTGAGAAAGGTGGATTGATCTCTCGAGGGGAGTGTCAAAGGTATCAGAGATAACATGTATCGGTAATAAGGTCAACTTGATCCCATACACATAGACGTAATCTTATCTCTCTCTCTCTCTCTCTTTATTGACAAAGGTATCGAAGAGAATATCGTATCGGCGATAGGTTGATCTAGTTTCATAGAAACTTATCTACCGCGTTCTCACTCTTTATGCATTCATATCATATCCCAACATTTATGTATTCAATCAATTACAACCAACAGGTTACACGCCGCTGAATATTACTTGACAAACAGAAGGGAAAAAGAACATTCATCAAGTTTTCACATGTACACGTATACTTTAGATATTCCACTCAATGAACTTAGCGACCGAGAATCGTTTGAATAAAGTTCAACCGAGAACCGTTGAATAAACTTCAGAGAATAATAAAGACGTGTGTGATAGAAGGGGAAATAACGATTAACTGACTGTTTGGTCGATTATCCGTGATCGGCCAACTTTATCAAAGAGGCCTGTCAAACTACAGTCCTCAAACTCTTTCCCATTCTTCTCAACACACTCAATTAACCCCCTTCTACTACTTGTTCTGACCAAACTATCCTGTCAACAAGAAACCCCCTCTAGAAGTATATGTAGGTCAGAACTACAGGATTCAACCCCCAGGTTCACAACGAGAAATCATTTATTTTTGATAAGTTCTTTCAATTCCAGTTTGAAATTTTCACTGACAGCTTCTTCACATGTCTATGGGAACAAAAGCCTACTGGATTGTTATGTTATGCAATACGAAATGGGACTTTGTTGATTATCAAAGTTTAGTCACTTTGACGATTGGACAGGGAGATTGTCAGATTGGATGTTTGGGGGATGCATGCCACAGCAGTCATAGATCACCACCACCTGCTCCCCCCTTGCCCTGCCCCAAAAAAGGAATCGTGATTCGGTCGTACGGTGGTACCAACTTGATCCTTGGTTCAGAGTCGTGATCATGATGAAATAACCATACATGGTGGAAATAATGAATGACCGATGGATAGGATCAAAGTAGTGTCAAAAAGCGAGAAGATACCAAAGTGGTTGATGACAATTGACAAAAGACACTAACTTTTAACGGGGGATAGCAAGATCAAGATCAGGTCAGACCAATTCCAATCAAAAAAAAAGAAAAAAGGAAACATCAAATTGAGATGGAATGCATGATCTCTCGTCAAGTCTGTACAGAAACCCAGATGAAATGCATCCCTTCTTGACATTTCGAAAACTCCTTGAAAACCTGGATCAAAGAGTCAAAAGAGTCAAAGAGGTTTTTTTTTTTGGAAAGCTCAGGTCGATACCTTTTCAACTTATAGGCAAGAGATTACACTATGGAGAGAAAACATCATAAGTCCGGAACAATCAATCAATTTAATTCTTTGAGAAAAGATGAGATTGATATGTTGTTCATCAAGTGCACTTTATAAAAACTCTTGATGATTGGCTTATCAGACACGTGAACGTTCTTTACCTTTGATGGTCATCATGGAGAAGAATAGAATTAGAGACGATCCGCTTGATATTTATTCATGTGTTTGCTTTGGGGGGAAATCGACGAGTAGAGTCAGTGTTCACGTGCCGGTTGGTTTTCCGCGTCAGCTTTCGACACAATTTGATGTCAGTGTTGTGGTTTTCGCTGATTGACACTGATGGCGGTGTGGTTTTTCCTGACTACTGATGTATGTCAGTGTGGTTTTTCCTGAATACTGATATCAGTGTGGTTTTTCCTGAATACTGATGGCGGTGTGTACTACTGATGTCAGTGTGGTTTTCCCGTCCCATGCGGTTTTCCCTGTCCGGTTCCCGGTTCCCGGTTCCTGGTACTGATGTCACTGTGGTTCCTCCGAGTCGTCCTTCCGAAAATCCATGGCATCTGTCTCACACTCTCTGCATTCATTCTCATTTCACATCTCTATCAGCTTGGCATCACGAGTTTCGGTTCGGGAGAATGAAATGATTTCACCTCGGGTTTGACCCAGATGTATTAAATTTCATACTATCATACTGCGCACCGGTGATCCCGGAAACATCCTCTTGCAAGTCAACTCGTCTATCATGTGTAACCTCGTCATCTCAGGTCCTTCTCTGACCGTCCATTCGAATAGGGGCAGGGATAGTCGGGGCAAGCTCTCCCTCAGGTCTTCCGTCGACACACGTTTCATCTTTCCCTCTTCGTCTTTGTCCTTTTCTTCCTCGTCGCCATCATCGGCGTGTCCGCCGTCCTCACGAGCAAGGTCAGACCGCGCGGAGCGGTGAACCCTCAACGCCCAGATCGAAAAGTGGCGCAGGGCGACCAGGGAGTAGATGCCGCAATCTTCGGTCCCTGTTTGTATCGGGCCCTGGAGGATCAGCACACTTTCAGCATCTCGGACCCAGCAAGCGTAGGAGCGAGGCTGGGCGCTTGCTTGACGATCGGGGGGGGGGGGTCAAGCGTCGTGGTTGTACGAGAGGAAGAGGGAGAGGAGCGAGGATGATGCCAGAACAAGCAAGGTGTGATTATCAAAACATGCGAAAAGAACCAGTCGGAGTGTGTCTTGTAGAGGGAAGGGGACGGGGGATGAGAGAGTGGTGATTGTGTGAGAGGAGGTCAAGGGACAACTGAATTTTGTAAGACCTGAAAAGGAGAGAGAGACGATGGGGATTAGAGAGGAGAAAGACGACGAGACTGGAGAGGACAGTGGAGCACAAAGATGGAGAGGGCAGTGAACCACAAAGAAAGAGAGGACAGAGACAGATTTATCAGAGAATATGGCAGGAACACTGACCTGGGTCATATGACGCACTTGCCAAGGTGTGTCATGGTTCAACGAATGTTTCTTCTGCATAACATCCAGCCAGTCGACGATGGCCTGAATCGAATCAGTCATGATCATCTTTTCACCCGTCCAGTGCTCCCCGTCCCCCTCTCCCCCTTGTCTCTTTCCATCTCCTCTCCTTCCCTCCCTCCCTCGGAGCCTGTCGCCGTGACCGGTCTCTCAGAGGGAGAGATCTACGGGTTGGACAAAGACATCAGAGACCCAAGGGGATGACGGGGTGGACAATGGCATGATCGAGAACCAAGGCAAATGGAGGAAACGTGGGGAAGAGATCAAACTCGCCTCTCCAATCCTGATGACCTCACCCTCGTCCGCAAGGGAATCGTATATGCACACGGCCCTGCATGACATGGAAACGAACGCTGCCATCCAGTGTGAATTCGACACGTGGACGGGGATCAACAGTCCGGCGCATGTGAAGAGATCCGTCTGGCGGTCAGCGTCACGCTTCGCTATCGTGAAACACCGTAGACACAGGAGAGGTGTGAGGTGGTGGCTGGGATGATTGTGAGGAGCATCCGCTAGGGTGTGGTGGATGAATCGATTGCAGTGTGTGAAACGAGAAAAGACGTACCCAAGAATCCGACCATTGCATTGCTCTCAATGTCGATCTTCCCCCCATGAGCAATAAGGATACAAATCCCGGATCTACGGGTTTGAGAGCGACACCATGTAGTCGGCTCCAATCGACCAGCAGTGCGACATAGGCTTCCATGATGTCGCCAGTCAAGCCATCTCTTCCTTGAACCTTCTCTCTGTCCTCGGTTTCTTCCCTGTCCTCCATGTCCAGTCCCTCCGTGTTGGCTCGCTTCTCGCTGACTCGGATCTGTCGGCGAACGCGGGTCAATATGGTCGGACAATGGCCACAGACACCTCAGAGAGTCGTGAGACAAGGACCAATACGAACTTGTGTTTCTGCCCGATGCGGTCGCACTCCCCGGACCCAGTGGGCTCAATGACAAGGCCGACGATCTGCTCTTTTCCCATGAGAGAGGGTCGTCTTGCCAGCTTCGGATCACATCAGAGGAATGTTTCAATCCCGTCGGGCAGTCGGAGGGGGTTGAGCGTGGGTTCACTTCAGAGGGATTTGAGCGTGGGTTCAGGTGGGGGGACGAGTCTTGGTTCGACGAGGCCGAGGGTGATTGCGCGTGGATGGAGGAGGGTGGGGGTGATGAAATGTGCTCATCTTGTCGCGGGAGGGAGGCAAAGGGTCGGGGTTGAGGTGGTTCAGATCCATCAGGTTGGGCAGCGTCGACGCAAGTTTCAGCCTCGGCCGTGGGATCCGTCGGAGAGGGCAAGTGAGAGGACCAGTCCGTAGACAAAGATATGAGTACGGACGGTTCTCCAAGCGCGTCGGGTCGGATGCTCCCCGCGAACAAACGTGATTGACCCGATGGCTCAGAGGTGGATGCGGATGCGGACGTGGAGGGAGGTTGGACGGGCATGGCGAGGATAAAGGCGGTGGGCATGTCCGAGAGCTATGGTCAGCGTGGTCGCGAGGGCCAGAGAGGAAGAGAGAGCCCTGACAAGAGACTCACAGGTAAAGCGTTGACCAGACCCAAGACGACTTTTTGTTGTCTCTTGCCGTCATCGCCTAGGCCTGTCCCGGTACCCATGTCCGATCCCATTTCCGTGCACATGCCCATGTGATGGACATTGACGGCGAGACAGACGAATCCATCCAGCGGACCACGTTCGGGCGATAGGGTGATTTCCAAGCTTTCAAGTCTCCGGCTTTTGCCATCGGCGCTCGCCACGGCCTGACACTTTATATCCGAGTTGTTGATGGCCGCGTTCGCGGACGAGAGCAGGGTTTGGAGGATGTGACGGGCAAAGTCCAGGTCGATACCGCCGTCATGTTGGGTGGGGTCGTGATGGCAGCCCAACCAGTCCCAGGTGAGCTGGCCACTGTGATGATGAGCTTTGCCATCTAATCGAGTGGGTGCGTGAGCGTGTCGGTCATTGAAGGGAGGAGATGCCAAGAGAGGAATTTGTTTCGGGAGTTTCGAGAGGGTAGGAAGAAAAGAGTGCTCACATCTCGGAGAGTGCCCAGCGGGCACGGTTGCGTACAGCGGGAGAAAGACCATGACCGTTTCTCGAGCTCTGGGCGATGAGGTCGCTGAAGACGACAAAGGTGGGTCGAGATACCAAGTGGAGCGGGGATGAATGACAGGAGCACAAGGTCTCTGGGTGCAGGGCGGGTGTGGGGGCGAAGGTGAGGGGGAGGGTGAGGGGGAGGGTGATGGTGATAGCAGCGACGAGGCAAGAGTCAAGCTCTGTCGCTGTCGCTGTCGTCGCTGCTGTTGTCGTCGCCGTCGCCGTCGTCGTCGTCGTTCCCTCTGCTCTCGTTGCAGTACGGTGAGGATGTTGATACAAGCCGCCAAGAGGAGTCTGCGTGACATTGTTATTGTTGGTGGTGTTGGTTGTTGTTGCGGTTGACTGGACTGACCGGGTTAGGCATGCGACGGAGAGGAGGGAGACCTTTGGGTCATAGGCTCGCGAGTTTCATCCATACCTATTAACAAACTCCCATGCCTATTAACAAACTCCCATGCCTATCAACAAACTCAAATACCATATGGACAATGTCCATATGGTAGCGAGTAGAGTAGGCATGAGTCACAGTTTCGGCCTAAAGTCGGTATCAGAGTGATGTGGCCGACTTCACGACGACAACGACAACGACAACGGCAGCGACGACAGCGACAGCGACAGCGACAGCGACAACAACGACAACGACAACGACAACGACGACATCAACAACAACAACAACATCAACGACAACGACAACAACGACAACGACAACGACAACAACAACAACAACAACATCAACAACAACAACATCAACAACAACAACATCAACAACAACAACATCAACAACATCAACAACATCAACAACATCAACAACATCAACAACATCAACAACAACAACATCAACAACATCAACAACATCAACAACAATGGAGATGAAACATCTGGTCAATCGTGCAAGGTGCAAGGTGCAGGTCAGTCAACCTTCCTTGCTTGCTTTGCCTACTCGCAGTCTGTCATCTGTTGACCCACAGGCCTTACTCGTCACCCATCGCTCCCGCTCCCACATGGATCCTCACCACGTCGACCAGATCTTCCAACAACTCGAGACCGAGTTGAACCGTCTCGGGTCTCATGCAGGACCAGGCGATGACCATGGCCGTGCTACTCGGACGGTGGCAAGTCCGGACGTAAGTGACATCCCCAGTGTCCAGTGAGAGCAAGTGCTGACCATGCAGCAAGGCGGCACGGCCGGGACGGATAGGGATACGGACAGCGCGAGGACAGAAGCTTCAGATCAAGTTGGAAAGGCGAAACGACGAGCCAAACCAGAGTCGGTAGTGAGGATGAACGGACGGAATGATCACGCCGCTCAGGCCATGGTGGTGAATAGTAATGTAGTCTCTCTCCCCCCACACACACACAATCGTATCACGTCCATTGTCATCACTAGGTATGCATTATCCTGTCGCCGACTCGACTCGTGCAGCTCGACGAATTCTCCCTTAGGACAGAGAGGTTCATGGCCGAATGTAAATCCATCTTGACTCGTCTCGACCTCCATCGTCCGTCCCCTCCCGAGTCGACCGACGGAAAGCAAGACGAAGAGACAGAGACGGACCTTGCGAGCGTTCTCGTAGAGTATATGAAAAAGGTTGAAGAACACGTCCCGATCCTGATGCGTGAGTTTCTTTCTTTCCTTCTTTCCTTCTTTCCTTCTTTCCTCCTATCCGTCTTTCCTTCTTTCCTTCTATCCTTCTTTCCTTCTATCCTTTTTTCCTTTTTTCCTTCTATCCTTCTTTCCTTCTTTCCTTCTATCCTTCTTTCCTCCTTTCCTTCTTTCCTTCCTTGCTTGCTTCACCATCTCCCCCTCCAGAACGTACATCTTCACGATCCCACCGAGGTCCTCTCATCTCTCCTCCTCCACTGGTCGATGAGAAGAAAACGGAGACACGCACGGGCGAGAACGGACATGGGACGTACGCTCACCGTCACACAGACTTTCGGGCGCCCTCTTCCAACACGGCCCAACGTCGTAAGAGCTGGCACAAACGGGGTGGATTACGTCACGCCATCCCATTCGCCTTTGTCCTTCACGCCTTCCCAAAGTTACGGCAAATCGCTAGGCGGCTCATGCTCCCTCACGAGCTCGACGACAAGCCCGAGATTGACCTGGGGAATCTCGTTCGACAATTAGAATACGTCCTACATGCGTGTTCCCTTCCCAAGAACGAGTTTGACGAGTGGAAAGCGAATATGATCAGAGAGTGTGAGGACGGTTGGTTTATGGATCCGATCAAACCTGTCTCTTTGGGTTTTTTGGACGATCGCGGGCAAGCAAAAGACAGTGACAGTGAGCAGCAGCAGCAGGAAGAGGAGGAAGAGGACGATTGGGTATATCTTGAGTTGGTCGGATTCAAACGTTGGGACAAATTGGTAGTAAAGGATAAAACCAAAAAGAAATTCCCTACTCATGGAAGACGTGAGAACAAGTACAAGTACGAAAAGGGTAAGCAGGGAAAAATCGACAAGGATAAACGAAAAGGAAAACGAAAATGGAGGGGGATGGTGGAAGGGATGAGCCAAGAGTCGGATTGGTCGGTTTCAGATGATCCCACCAGCTCAATCATCATCACAGATGATACTCGAGAGGAGACGGAAGATGAGGAACGGATTCATTGGTCAGAAGACCGCTCGACGTCTGAGGGATCGGACGAGGATGAGGATGGCGAGGTGGAATGGAGCAAAGCCAAGAAGAGCAAGAGGGAGCGGGAGAGGAGGAAAACATACAACACGGGGAAGAGGACAAAAACGTAACGTGTGTGTGAAAAAAACATTTAAGATCATATCAAAACGTAGATCGTTCGTAATCCTTTTGCATCATCCTTGCATATTCTAAGACGCGTACCGAAAAACTTGTCCAATGTGTAGAGAAAGAAATGCATTCTAAGCTATTTATCTATCTTAAAAAAAAACTCATCTGCTTAGCAATCAATGAAAAAGAAAAAAAAAGCAAATGAGTCATCTATTTAACAAGTCTTTACGAGTCGTGTAACGGTATAATCACCAAGTTGTAAACGTAGGGTTCCTTGCTTGCTTGAGCATTTATTCCCATGTTCCTGATACTTTACTAGACCCCTCTCGTAGCGTCTCCAACTTATCATCAGTGAAAACCCTTTGGACGGCGGCTCTCAAGCCGACGTCATCCGGCTCGAGACTCATCATCCTCAATATCCCATCACACCTCTCCATGAACTCTTTTCCTTTCGGTTGCAAGAACACTTGTGGGCCCAAACCGTTGGCTATGAGTCTAGCAACGATACCTCTAACGTGTTGGCTGCTGATCAACTCTTCCGAACCAACCTCGGTCACATGAGGTTGAGGTTGGGTTAGATGATCATGTTCTCCCATTTCGGTCAAGTGAAAATGTTCGTAGTGATAAAAAAACGGCGAGGATACCGAGGTAGACGTGTCTTAGAGGGATAGATTCACCCAACGTCTGTTATCCCATCAGCTCCCTTTCTTTTCTTTTCTTTTTTTTTTTTCCGTTGCCTCACACGAACTCAGGTCCAGGTGGATATGTACCTACAGTAAAACAAATGCAGAATCAAGTGAAAAAACAAAAAAAAAACAAGGGATAAGTGTTGGATTTTGTACTCACATCAAAATGGTTCATTAACGCTTTCAACGTGGTCGTCGCTCGACGTTCCGACAACTTCGAAATGGCTTTACCTAGAATTTTGGAATCCCACAATAACTCGACGGACATTTTGGTCTTCTGTTTCTGTTTTCGAGTATGATCATCCACTGACGAAACTACACCACGAGTCACCTGCCTCTGACGCTCGACTACCAATCCTACCGATTGCCCGTGCAATACTAAGAACCTCTTGATCAGATGTTCTGTGCATTTCCCCAGATCTTCCATTCCCTCTTTCAGATACTTGTTGCTCTTTTCAACCTCTACTTCTCTCCTGGTGGCTTCCCTCTCTAACGACTTGGCCACCTGTACCTGAATTTGGAGCGCCTTCAAGTGGTCCTTGTACCCATCTAGCGTCCCAGCCATCATATCCAACTTTTCCTCCAATTCCACCTTGACCTTGAGGGTATCCTCCAGTCGCTCGACTTGCTCTTGCATCCTCTCGAGCCGGGATTGAAGGGTTCGGTTCTGAGAGCGGACATGTCCAACCGTCTCATGTTCCGCCAGCATTTGCTCTCGAACTCCATCGACCGCCTTGGAGACATTGTGAAAACGAGACAGGATGAGCAAAACGACGTCCTGCAGATTGTCAGGATCGTGGACGTTCTTACCGTTGTCATCGAGCAAGACAGAGACGAGTTTATCAAACGCCGTGACGTACTTGACATTATCCGACTTGCAAGATTCCAGTTCCAGTTCCAAGTGTGTACATCTGGCTTTCGATTCTCTTAGTTGATCATGACGATCTGGCTCGTCGTCGTCCGACAGGAACCATGACCGATTCGTCGTCATCGCCTTCGAGGGAGATACGAGTCATGTCTAACCTGCCATCAAAACTGTAGTCTTGCTCTTGTTCACCCAAGTCAGGGGAAGACGTCCTCTGCTCTCGTACTTTAACGTCCTCGGTTTCAAGCTGTTCAAACGTTATCACTGGCCGAGGTGGGTGGGTTGAGATATGGATCGTTGGGACAAGGGTCTGGAGTAGACTGACGGCTTGGTGAGACAAAAAAGACTTTCTGAAGGGTATGATCTATTCGATAACGAGCAGAGTCAGAAGTCTTGGAGTGAAGGAACCGCTCGATCCTCTTGCTCAGGTCTGGAGAGTTTATCATCGTGGACGAACCCATCAACAAAGAGTATCTAGTAGAATATCAGCCCGTCTCCCTTTTTTTTATCCCCTCTGTCAATCTCCGCAACACGAGACACGAGACACGAGAGAACCGGATGGAAGTACTAATCTCTGCGAGTTAGGCACTCACTTATCGTGGAAAGACTCGAAATCGAGACCGACTGGTAAGAGTCCCTTGAGCACTTGGGCAGCGTACAAAATACCGTTAACCCTGAGTTGTTGTCGTAGACTGATTACATCGTCCTCACTGTCCAATCGGATACACTTGATAAACGTCGTATCACCTTCTCCCAACGTTCTGACCAACCCCTTCCATTCTCTCTCATGCGGCGCCGTCACCGTCAGAGTCTTTCCCAATCTCGCCACAGTCCCGACGTCTCGGAAGGCCAAGACGGACTTGAGCATCTCGTTTCGAGCCTCACTTCCAAGAGTCGCCTCCGTCTCGTCTGGTAAACTCTGATCGTTGGCTCGAACGCAGAGCGAAAAGTCGTAAGTGACATCACCCGCATACTGTGGCAGAGTGACAGGCATGGATCCTTCAAATGAGGTACCGGAAGAACAGGGTGAGGAATTGTAGTTTTCGTCGTACACCTTGCTAGGGTCATGTTTACGTCTAATCGTATCCTGAAAGAGAGAGATAAACTTGTTCATTTTGTCACGTCGACCCTCAATCTCCCTTGCTGCTTGACCAAGTGTGGCGTCAAGACGAGAAGGAGTGTCGAGGCTAAAGTTAAAGTTGCCTTCTCGTCCAGTCAAAGTCGAAGCCTGAATGAGACTGTCAATGAACTTGGCATGAACGTTCTCGTTCGTTTTGTTGATCAACAATTGCGAGAGACCGTTCTGCGTGTGAGTAAGGATCCGAACATCAGAAACATGTCCCCAAAGAGAAGATTGGTACCAACCTTTTGAAAAGTTTCAAATCCATAAATGTCGAGTATCCTGATGACATTGACACTGTGCCTTGTCTCTTCCTTATCGAAAGGTAAAACCGTTTCGGCCGCCGTCAAACGGTTGACAGCATCCACAATACCCTGTAGCACATATTCAGCATTCTCCTCTGGCCTCGTGTGTCTTTTGACAAGGCGACTCACGTTGAACAAGGATGTATACAGGAAACAAGCGATCGAGTTTTTCCTTTTCTCCATCGTCACTCCGTTGACATCAACACCAGAAGCGCTTTTTCCGAGAAGGGTGATAACTCTCGAGACCAAGCATGTCGGCCACCGTCTCCACCTGATTTCTTGATGAGCGGTCTGAACGGAGGGCAGACATTACTTGCGCCGGCGTGTGAGTCTCATTGACCGACAGATGGGATAGGGTGATGATGCCCACGAGAACCTCGATGGTGCTCTTTACTTGATCGGGGGGAAGGACCCGAGAGAGTGCTCGGGTGTACTTGACGAACGGCGAGTCAGAACCGACCGATCCGAGCTCTAACAGATGATCGATTAGGCCGTTCCTGTGGTTGAGTTGGTCAGAGCTGGTGACACGATATTGTGTCAAGAGATGATCGAGAGACTCGAGGATGTGGAAACGTTTGCAAGTCCCAGAGTTGATGATACGGGACTGTTCCAATAGGACGGCTTTGTAACACGTTCCGAATGACCTTGGGGGGGAAGAAGGGTCGGTTGAAGAGGATGGAGCCCAATGTATCTGTGTTTTTTTTTGTCATTCAGGGAGTAAGGATTGAGAAAACCGACTCGTCAAAGGGGAAGGAAGTAAGGTGGAGGGGACGATGCTGATAGGATATGGACAGAGGAAGGAGAATGGAGGATGGACAGATTGAGGGTCAGAAGAGAGAAGAAAAAAAAAAAACGAAAGACTCACCTCGGTCATTTTGATGAATCTGGAAGAATTGTTATTTAAAACTGTATCTGCGTGTCCGAACCCTTCGAGGATGGTTTCTAGAGCCGTGGTGACATTCCGAGCAAGAGACGCTTGGTCATGAGTACCTGCACCAGCGACGGAACCCTTGGTGACGGAAGGGATCAAGTGGTGAAGAGCCGAGATGAGGTGAGCGGCATTGATTGTTTTCCCCGATCCACTAGAAAGACGTCAGCACATCAGCATGTCGTGACTATGACGTTGACCCACCTATCACCTGAGAAAATGACGTTGTGATCTCGACGAGTGTGTTGAGACTGTTTGAAGACGTTTATGGCGGCACTGTAGATATGAGGTTCGAGAGCGTGTCCCTCGTCCCACGCCGCCTCGAGTTGAGTCAACTTTTCGAGGTGGTCTGTCGGGTCTTAGCTGCAGACACCACACGACCAGAAAGGAAATGAACCGACATGTATCGTTGGGAGGAGTTGTACTGGGATCTGGCCGGAGAATGATCAAAGCATCTTGACACCAGGTATGATTGAGTGGAAAGGTCAAATTCCTCCTAGCGAGCAAAAGGTCGCATACTGGCCGTCAGTGATGAGTGAGGGTGCGTGCGTGGGTTGGTTGGTTGGGTGGATAGCGAAAAGGGATGAATGAACTGACCCGAGGGTTCGTCGATGACATCCAATCGAGTGATATCCGAGATGACTTGCATGGCTGGCATTGGGTGTGGTGGTGTGGTGATGATGGTGGTGGTGTTGTTGGTGGTAGCAGCAGCATGCAGCAAGTGTGGCACCAGCGAGGATTATAGCCATATTGGGTGGTGCCACATCAGTAAACATCAATTAACCCTCGCACGGTTCATACATATTACATCCTATACATATATATATCCCCCCCCCTACACACACACACACACACACGCCTACTTGGAAGGTTCATCATGTTGGGATACGAGTCGCACTTTACAAATGATACCTTTCGAATCAGTCCACCAACTAGCCCTCTCAGCGTACCATCCCTCTCTCTCAAACTCCCATCTGACGTTGTCGTACCCTGCCCAGTAACTGTCAACCCACTCCTCCCAGCCCACCACGGTCCGTACCACTCCCATCGTCCTCACAAAGTCGCAGACTAGCTGACAAGCAGATCAATCTGAACTCAGATATGCACACGCTCAACAGACCGCCCCTGCGACATCCCCAGACGCCGAGGCAGTCGATGAAACCTTTCAGGTCGAGGTATGCCGTCGCCAGTCCCCGTCCCCAAACGGCGGCGATACAGACCCACGGGATTGGGATTGGGAGTGGGATCCCCCAAGGTGGCAACCCAAAGATGATGATGATGATGATGATGATGATGATGATGATTATAATGCCAAGAGAGGTCGTTCCGCTCGCTCGGCTCCATCTTTCTGGTACATCGACCCTATGGACCTTGTTCAACTAGACCTTGCAGGAGAGCGCTTGAGGGAGAAGACGACGAAGGAGGGGTTGCAAGTTGAGGTGGAATCGGAAAGGGAGATGATTGGGTTCAAGGGGACCCAAGAGGTGGTAAATGGAGTAACGGATACCATCAAGGTGAGTCAACTTTGACACTACTCGTTCATTCCAAACCGGCTTTGTACATACGTTTTGCTTCCTTTTGCTCTCTCCCCCTCATGCCTCACACGTTTTCGTGACCGTGTTCGTTTTGGTCCTGCTTTTGACCAGAGCCAAGGGCTGTATGTTGGAGGACGGGGTGATAAAGGAACATTTTGCGTCTCAGTCGGCGGCTGACAGAGACAGAACGTCACGATACCGATAGCCACCACCACCACCACCACCACCACTGACGCAGCTCAAAACAGCGACAGTAGTACCCGCACTCGCACCCCGACTGCTGAGCCCGATCCCGATCCCGATCCCGATCCGTTCAAATCCCAGAGACATATCGTGAGCTGGTCGTCCCCTGACTCATCCTCCTTATCCCTCCCTTGCCATGTAATCGTGTCAAGGACGAACGCCGAGGTGCGAAATATCTGTCATTTCTCATTTTGTTGGGGAAAACAGTTCGGCCGAACCGGGGACCGGCAAGCTCGTCTTTGATATTTATCAACATGACCCGCTCACCATACAGCTCGAAACGTTCAACAAGTCGGCCTGGTCGTTTGTCAAATACCACTACTCTCATCCCTCCCAAAAGACAAAGGCCTCGCACGAGAAGGAGAGACGAGAACGTTTCCGGTCGCTCGTGACTAGAGCTTGTTCCGCACTCAAGAACCTTGATGGTGAGTCGTCCACCATCCATTCCTTGCCATGGGTCCGTTGCCCCCGTCTGTCAAGGACCCGGCTGACACCCAAAGGTCTCCGTGAACGGTCCGATGGGCGTTCGTGGCATAACAAGTCAGGCCTCATTCTCGATCTCCCCCTGGGGTATTTCCGCGCCCATTCACACTCGTTTGACGACTGGTCCAAGAGGAGGGGTAAGCCAGGTCGGGCGGAAGAGATGTTCGAGACGCTGCGATTGATCCTCAAGGAAGCTCGCAAGCCGAGGGGGAGGGTTGTGGCAGTGGCGGAGAGCAACCGGGATCTGGACAAGAGGATAGGGTATTCGAGGTGGAGGAAAGGGCACGGTGGGAGTTTGACCGTCAGCGTGTCAGATACGGTCAAAGAGTTGTGGGACGTTTAGGGCTTAGGGGGTGAATGATGCATGTGTCGTTGCTCCACCGGCCACCGGCCACCGGCCACCGGTCACCGGTTCCTACGGGGAATTACCTCTGACGTGGCATTTGTACCCTAACCTCACCAACATCCTCCTCACCAAACTGCACTCGCACTCAGACATGGTAGATCCACCCGGGGCCAATCATGACTTTGTCTGGGTCAAACCAGGTCAGACTCAACGTTACGCTGGGTGATCCTCTTCTCTACTCTACTATAGTATAAGGCTAACTAACTCGTCAGTTCCCAAGTCGATTTTGGTTTCTGCGTAGAGTGTAAAAAGCAATCCGTCCCATGTCATTGGCGACCTCTCAAGCTTTACAGTCATAGGTCCATCCGTGAACTCGGAGGTGATCCTTACGGCGTCTATCAGTATTATCACGATGTCGTCTGCGTCAGGCATTTTGATTCAAAGTCTTGTTGTACCCTTCCCCTTGCCCACACCTCGGCCGAGTCATCCGTTTGGGATCCAAACGTTCGTCAACCGATCAAGAGGACTACTTGGCTCTTGTGGCACACGACCGAGAGGGTGTGGATAAGGAGAGAGAAGCCGGCCCTCAAGAGGATAAGGAAAAGGGCGAGGACGAGGGCGGGGTCAAAGTCGACGTCGGCGTCGGCGTCGGCGTCGGCGTCAGCGATGAGGTCGTCCATGGAACCCAACATCCCTGTCCCGGTCGAGCGGGAGGATGGGATGGTCGACGCCGACGCCGACACCGGGAAGGATGATATGGACGACGTCGACGCTGACGCTGACGCCGGGGAGGAAGAGTTGATCAACTTTGACGCCGCCGACATGAACGCCCCCACGGTCGCTCATTCCCAGGAGCATTCGTCACTCATGTCACAAGATACTATCCATATCGCCCCTATCCCAAAAGTGACAACGAGTACTCCATCCCAGTACGAAACCTGGGAGATGGAATTTTGTTCTTTGCCCAAGACAAACCCCCACGGCACCTCGCTTCTCAATCACCACGACACATGGCTGGTCATCCCCCACGAGACCCCGTTGACTATTCACCCGGACCCTGACGAACAAGCACAAGACCGAGGTCAAATGTCGTCTTTGTCCCCCATCCCATCGTCTGATTTGGAATTTGCAAAGTACGAGATGGACTTTTGTCATTTTTCGTTAAGATCCAACCGCCCGCCGTCGCCCCGAGCGTAGTCCTGTTTGTCCGAATCGCCCTCGCCGCCCCATACCATACCCCCCTCAACTGCGCTGCCGGAGCGCGACACGGCTCGAGTGAGTTTCAGTTCTAGTCGAATGGGTGTCAGTGACAGATCGGACGTTGGTTGAAAAATGGGCAATTCATCGTGTCAAGTACGTACATGCTTTCATCCTCTCTATGGCAAGAACATTACACGGGCCATCTACTCATGTCTCTCTGGAGGATGGCACATGGGCCACGTATCATTCGACTGGTCGCAGAGTCCGTCACTGATTCCCAGACGGACCGGATTTCGGTTAGCCCGAGAGGCAGGTGACAGACAGTAGGGCAGAGCAGGAGCGGGGACAAGAGCAGGAGCAGGAGCGGGGACAAGAGCAGGAGCAGGAGCAGGAGCAGGAGCAGGAGCAGGAGCAGGAGCAGGAGCAGGAGCAGGAGCAGGAGCAGGAGCAGGAGCAGGAGCAGGAGCAGGAGCAGGAGCAGGAGCAGGAGCAGGGACAAGAGCAGGAGCAGGAGACGTAACCACCCACCCAGGCACAATTCTTTGTCCTCGTCCAGTCTCGCCACTCTGCTCCACCCTCTCCCTCTTTCCTTTGGTGTCACGACGGATCTATCAACGGCGAGGTGCTGGCTGTGCAGGTTGGATCGAGGACAAGTTTGTGATCAACAATTGACATGCTAGACAGGGGGAGAAATGCAAAATATAAATCAGATCGGATGCAAGTGTACGAGTATCTGTTCAAAGCATTACACTGACTGACCCTTGAATGCCGTTTCTCTACGTATCTGATCTCGGCCGATTGGACGGGCATCAGTAAGAGGCGTGACAAGTAAGAAGCATAACAAGTAAGAGGTCGTGACAAGTAAGAAGCATAACAAGTAAGCGGTTGTGACAAGAAAGGAGCACACCAAGTAAGAAGCTCAAAGCCGAACAAGAGACAAAGACGAGTGATCATGGACTGTGAAAAAGCATCCATCTAAAACACGATTCGACTGGCGTCAAGAGCTCTCTCTGCCTCTTTGGATGATTGAAAAGAGAATGACCAAGATGCAAAGAATGATGTCTGTTGGGGTCTCTATGTCGTCGTCACTACTATGGGACTCGTCCATCGGCCACCGTCTCGGTCTCGGTCTCGCGACCCTACCTGGTCTCCCGGACCCTACGGACAAGATAGGCGTCGACATTGAGCTGTAGTCCGTCGGTCGCGATCGAGGCGATATCCGCTGCCCATGGCTATGGCTCGAGATGCCGCTTTGTGAAGAGAGATCCCGATGTCAGGTCGCGAGCGGGACCAGGAGTCGGGACAGAGGACGAGTGATGGAATTGAGAGAGTGACGCGAGTGCAAAGGGAAAAGGAAAGGAAGAGATGGGAGATGAGGGTAAGGAAAAAGAAAAAGTGGTGAGATCATGATGGACCACTTAGGATTGGGATCACCATACGAGTACCGGCTCTTTACCTTTGCCTGATGATGAGCGTCAGAGCAGACGAAGGACACTTACGTGCCGGCCTTTCAGAACAAGTGTCGGCGAGACGAGAGAGGCATTTGAGAATCCGAGAGGGGTGAGGGGTGAAGCAACAGGCCGAGAGTGGAGTGTTCAGCAAGAAAAGGAAATTCAGACAGATGACACGCTCAACACGGTCCAACTCGTAGCGGCACTTTGACGTGGGCGCCCCTTTCGACCGGTGAGATATGTTGATAATGCCTGATACAGCGAGAGATGATGCCTGATACAGCGAGACGGATCTATTCGAGCTTCTGTACCTTGACATGTCTATGTAAAAATCTTTCTTCGTTTCGAATCGGGTGTCAGTAGGAAGTCAAGGGTCGATGTTGAATGTTCAAGAGGGGATCTGGATTTTTCAACGACACCAGATGCAATTAAGGCGACAGGGATGATACGAAAGTTTTACGTGGTTTGACGGGGGAGTTGTCGTTGGTTTTTGGATTTGAAGTTTGAGGGCGAGTCTTAGTGAGAGTCGGTAAAGTGGAATTGGAATTGGACTTTGTTGATGAGCAAGGGAAAATAGTCGTTCGAGTCGGTAAAGTGGAATTGGAATTGGACTTTGAGAGTTGATTGAGCAATGGGAAATTGTCGTTCTGAGTCGGTGGGAATTTGGTGCGAGGTGGGACTTGGACGGTGATTACTTTGAAAGATTTTCGAATCATTCCTATACATTTATTCATCCATCAAAACTCGGCCGAGTTGAGGTTCGACCTCTGAGGATGTTTGTGGACGTTTGTCCCATCTGGAAGAATCAGCCCTGTGGTTCAAAGGGTTTGGTGTGAGATTTGGGGGGTTGTAGGTGTGAGATTTGGGGGGTTGTAGGTGTGAGATTTGGGGGGTTGTAGGTGTGAGATTTGGGGGGTTGTAGGTGTGAGATTTGGGGGGTTGTAGGTGTGAGATTTGGGGGGTTGTAGGTGTGAGATTTGGGGGGTTGTAGGTGTGAGATTTGGGGGGTTGTAGGGTTTTGTGAGATACGACGAGTTTTACAGGGCACTTGGTATTGATACGACGAGTGGACATCGTTCGGTAAGGATACCATGACCAAGTTGGGAGGTTTGGTATTGACATTTCGATTTCGACGAGGTGAAGGGTTTGGTATGATACGAGAGGAATAGAACACAAGGCTTAAGAGGACAAAGATGAAAGGTTGGGGTGAGATATACCGACATACTTTATTATACACAAAGGTATGGCGATAAAATATGAGGGAAAGATACCAAGCGACATGGAGATGATGCCCTCACTCGGACTCCATTTGCCAACTCAGACCATCCCGACTCATTTCATGTTCTCATCTTGATCAAGTTGTCTGTTCCCGACTTGATTGGAAGACTTGGTGTCGGTCTGAAGGGTGATGATTGGGGAGATGACAGATTTGAATAGAAGGGTGAGATCGAAGACAAGTTTGGAGAGGAAGCCTACAAGGCAAGACCGAATTGAGGAAGATGATGAGAATGGAGTTTACAGTAACGAAGAATCACCGTCTTCCCCCTGGCCCCTGGATTATCTCCGGATCCCTTTCCTTTGCATATTTTGCGTATGAGCTGGGAGACAAGGTGCAGCGGAGGGCAAGGTTTCTTATGGTACAAGATGATGCTTGTATTCATTAATCTAAGTTAGATGTGTACGTGTTATCAACAATCAAGTTGCCTAAAGCCCTAAACCTAAACCTATCACTTTAGATGAACATTGGCGGAACATGCAGCAAGGTCTGATATGAGATCCCGCCAAATGGATTGGTTTCTGAGCATGGATGGATCAGAGGTGGAAAGTAGTCGCTGATAATAATGGGGGTAATTACAAACTAACTAGACATCTATGAGTATTGAAAAAACATTGACTGGGGTACAACTTGCATGAATGACATTGACAGCTGCAACGACAACGATGGTCAACAAGGCGATGGCGATGGTGACGGCGACGACACCTACACCCCGCCCGCTGTGGGCAAGGGTTTGGAAGAAACCTCGCCCATCCCCATCCCATCAACCAAACCTACTTGCAACCTCTCATCCGGTCCCTCTTCCCACGCGTATCCACACGTCACCACTCCCACCTTGCAATCAACCTTTCAAACTTTCCACGTGTCGCCCCCGTCCACCATCTCCCCATCCAAGCCTCGGTCCAACGTATCGCCAGCCATCTCAAAGCTTACATACGTCTCGTCCCGCTTTCCTCAGACACGGAATCTAGCCATCAGGAAATCTTGGCCCACATTTTCAAGTCTCTCTTCCTCGGTCCGGCCTACAATAATAATGATGACCAACCTTTCGAACCGAGGCTAGGTATCGTCAGGGAATCTTCACTATCCAATGTTCATGTCCCAGGTGGGGTCGAGTGTCAGGATACGACGATTAATCTCGTTTTGAAATGGTTGTATTCTAAAGCCAGAGGTGGTGAGTCGTTTTTGAACCACATTGTCATCAGAAACGCATTCGCCCTTGTCCGACGTTTTTTTTCCTTCTTTGTTTTCATGCGTCTTTGACGTTTCTTTCTTTATTTTCATGCGTCTCCCATCTTACTTGCCCTTTGGTCTCTCTCTCTCTCTCTCTCTCTCTCTCTCTCTCTCTATAATGGGGCAGTCGACAGTACGGGGAGGTGATAGTTCACGGGTTTTGATACCTTGGTTGAAGGAGCGACGTGATCGTACAGGTCCTGGACAGCATCCCGGTCGTTTGCGGTGAGTAGGTCTGGACCGTCATCATGAACCGTCTCAACTGAGCCAGCAGTATGCTCGAAATAGGCGCTCTGTTGCCCGATAATATGGCTGAATGCTCGTCCTGGATAGACAACCACCCAATCGACCTTCAGTCTCAACACCCCCTCATCCTCCAACAAGACTTTTTCCATCGCCCAGTACCGGTCAAAGGCAGCGACGAGTGGTTCGACATTATCAGTTGCAGTCTTGTCCTGAATTTCGTTACCAGTCCTATAC